AAATTTTAGACTCAAAAAGCACAGAAAATAGGTTGAAGAAAGAGGCAGAAAAAGAATGAAAGGAAAACCATGACACAAAAGAGAAAGGATAATACAAGGAAAGGAAAAACGAATTTAAACAGATACTGAGGACAGTCAGGAAAAGATAAACCATGAAAAAATGAAATGAATGCTGGAAGGGAAAGGTAAGAGAAAGAGGAATGTGTTATGGCAGAGCAGTTGAACAGCAGTTGGCAAACAGACCACCTGTTTAATCTTATCCATATTTGTCAAATAATTTATTTGATTAATACTCTTTTGTGGTCTTCAACCAGCTATAGATCTGATCAACTATAATTTCATGAATATATTATTAGAGTAATACAGGTAAAATTCAAACACATTCAACATTTTCATCTGCTGCTTAATAAGCTCTGCTTTTAAGTTTACACTTCAAAAATGTTGAAATAGTAAGCTGATAATAAATTACAATTAAACAAAGAGTGCTGAAGCACAATCATTTTGCTTTGTCTATACCAAGTACAGCATCATAACACATCTCAAAAGACAAGAGACAAGATGTTTCTACCGCTTCCCTTCATAACCCTCCCACAAGGAACCCCTCTCTGCAGGCAGTACTTTTTTGCCTTGGGTTTTAATTCATTATTTCCCCCATATTCAACTTTTCCACTCCATAAAGGTTTTTTCCCCCTAAGAAAACCTGGGGAGCTCCCAGGGCAGCCTAGCAGGAAGGTAAATCCAGGGTGTACCAGCAGCAGGAGGGGAGGCAGTAGATGCCATTTCCAGCCTGTAAACAAATGCTTACGCTTTTCGAGTTTAGCTTTGCTCATCTTAAAGGAAAGTTAGGTGAAAGATGGCCATGTGGACAAGGATGCCTCAGCACCTCTACCATCACACGGAAAAGCTTTCCGAAGTACCAGCAGCCTTTTCCTATGGGAAACTACGGGAGGGAAAAGGTCAATTGGCAGATCTTCAGCCTGTTTTTTTCCCCCCTCTCCGGCCCAACAAAGGAGCCCTCTTGAGTCCTCAGACCATAGGGTGAAAGCAACCAAGGTAGGCCATCTCCACACACCTGGCAGCAGGTCTGCCAGGGAGCCCCATGAAACAGCGCCAGACCCGATGAGGAAACTGTGGCCATTACTTTCCAGGCTGATGACAGAAAAAACTGAGGTTACTGCCACTGTTGATCCACCTTCACCACTGATGGCAGCCAAGAACCAAACTCACCACTGGAGAGAACCACACCAAGGGTAACACCTTTGGACCAGAAAAGTGTCCCTCAGGTCATAAGTCTGGTTTAAGTATTACAGTGATAACCCAAACTGAGATAATTATTGCTAATTACAAGATCATTTTTATGTAAACACAGAGGGTATCAGCATACATACTTCACCTCTTTTTAATTAAAAGAAGAGGTTCACTGAGACAAAAAAAAAGAAGACATGCTGACAGCTGCCACTCCAAAGCAGACTTCTGCAGTGATAACACCCATCAGCTTCCAGACCCACCAAAGAGACTGAACAGAGAAATCAATCAGCATCAGCCTTCCCGATGCTGAAATGAAGCAGTTGGCATGTTATTAATCGCACAGGGAAAACCTTTGATGATCAGGAAAGGACTAGACACATGGATTCAAAGTCATGGCTATGTTACAAACTTGGGAAGATCACACAAATCACCAAAATACTTTGGAGCTCTGCAAGGATAAATACATAAACACAGTCCTGACCAGAAGAAACCAATATCCACCATACAGCTCTCTACCAGCTCTTTAATTGAACCCACACAAAGCCTCATGTGCTTTTCTCCGTTCAAAATCAGTTCCTGCTCCAACCCACACAACCTACCCATGCCAACCAGACTGGGGTACACTGCAGCAAAGCCTCACCAGGAGTTTGTACCCCTTCTGCATCTCAAAGACCTACCCAGGAGCAACTTTGCACAGCACAGGCTAAAGAGACATGACTAAGGTAATTGAAATAGTCAATGGCTTCACTAGTGTCAAGGATTGACTTGGGTCAAGCCATTCCTGCTGTACCATCCTGTTTCCAGCTGTCCTAAGCACTTCTCCAGCCACTCCAGAGTTCACCAGTCCTCTCCAATTTCTCATCAGCTCTTTTGTCTCCAGGCATGCTTCACTGCTTGAGGCAATTAAAATGCATCCCCAACCACGATCCGTATGAGCCAAGTGAGCCATCGGATTCACCCGCCCCAACCTGGGGTGAAGGTGTTGAACCCCTGGCCTCTGTGACACCCTTGCACAGGCAAGCAGCCTCTGCACACTGCAGAGCTCAGGCAGCAAGCATCCCTGGGAGGAAGGGAGGTGTCACCAGCTCCGCAGAGATGCACACATGCAGAAATTAGGGGACCTTGCTCACAGATGCATGTACCTGTGCTTCTTGCCACCTGCATGCCCCCTCCATGCCTCACCCCTGGCCTGCTGATGGCTGGCACTGACATGAAGCTGGTCTCCCCTGAGGGAGGTCTCCTCTGATGCTGCTCTGACTTGGGGGAGCTGGCACTTGCTTTGGCAAAGGTTGGGGGGTCCAATGCATCTCCAATGGGAGCATCACAGGGCTGGCAAGAGGGATGCAAGAGAATGACGGAAGGCAGCTGCAGGGAGCTGCAAACTGGGAGTGCAAGGAAGAGGAGGGAGATGGGGCAGAGAGAGATGTAGCTTAGGGATGTGGGGGAGCAGGAGAGTAAGGGGGAGAAGGAAAGAGGGCCGAGCTTTGGGATCGGGGAGAGGGCAGGAAGAGGGCAAAGGGGGTGCAGGAAGAGGAGGGCAGGGGATGGAGGGCAGAGAGGATGCAGGGCAAAGGGGACGTAGAGGCTGTGTCTCGGCGGCCTGCCCAGGGCTGGGGTCGGCGCGGGCAGCGCCCAGGCAGCAGAGTCATGGCGCGGGCGGGCGAGCAGGTGGGTCTGCGTCACCGCCCCCAAACAACCGCGGGCAGCGCCGCCACCTCCCTGGGGAACGGCGGGGGCCATCCCCGGCACGGCGGGGGTTCAGGCTTCCCAGAGAGTGCAGCAGCCCCGGTAACAGGTGGCTGCGGCGCTGCCGGCCCGTCCCGGCCAAGCCGGTGGGTGCTGCCCCTCCGACGGCGCGTCCCACCCCCTTCCCCCAGCTCCAGCTCCAGCCCCGTTCCCAGCGGTCACTCACCGGCTCGTCCACCCCGCCAGGCGGGATGCGCGTCCTGAAGAGCGGGGCGCGGAAGTTTAAAGCACAGCAATAATATTTATTTTTTTCTTCCAACGGAGGAAAATCAAACAAGACGAGGTGCTCCCCAGCCGGGCTCACCTCCTTACCCCCGCCCTCCTCCCGCCGATCCGCTCCTCTCCTCTCCTCCTCGCCCAGCCCGGCCCCGCCGGGGGCTTCAGCCGCGAGTCGGCCCGGCGGCGAGGTGAAGTTTCCACCGCGGTGGCGGAGGCTCCCCCGGTGTGCCGCGCCCGCCCCGCATTGGCACGGGGCGCCGGGGCGCTGTGCCGCCGCCGCCGCCGCGCCCGGACAATGTGCGTGCGTGGGGAGCGCAGCGGAGCGGGAGCGCGCCCCGCCGGCGGCCGCAGCACACACCCAGGACACACACCCCGCCTACCCGCCGCTCAACGGTCGCCCACCGCCCTTGATAGGCGGCCCCCGCCGCCACCGCCCTCCGGGTGGGCCGCGGAGCTGTCACTCAGGCGCCACAGCCCGCCCGCCGCGGCCTGGCCGCGGGGCGGTCCCTGAGGCGGCGGTGGGTGGCTGTGAGGGGGGAGGGCGCCGGGCCGCCGCCTCGCACGGGCGTGGGACCGCCGCTCCGGGCCCCTTCTCCTGGGAGCCGCGGCGATCTCGTTGTGCGGCTTTGGGGCCGTGTCTGTGCTTCCCGCCCCGCCATGGCCTCTCTTCAGCTCCCCGCTCTCGGGGTGAGAGGAAGGCCTGCCGGCTGCTGCCCACCCAGGCCCCTCAGCCCGCCCTTTCCATGGCGGCAGGGGTGGTCTGCCCTTGGGGGTACCGACAGCTGCCGCGGCTTTCCCGGTAGCCAGCGGGCGGGCAGCAGAAGCTGCCCAGGCACGGCGCGTGGCCCGGGAGATCACCTCAACGGCCCGTTTGTCCTGGGGCCTGCGAGCCGCCGCTCGTCTGCCCCTGCCAGCCGCGGAACAGGGCTACTGCCGTCGAAAGCGCACGGCCCTCCAGCTACCGCGGCAGGCAGAGCATCCGCCCTGCCGTCGCCCTACAGGCAGGGCCCCGCGCCGCACGCTGGAGGTGCTGCCCTGAGGTGAGCTGCCGTTCTCGGCTCCCTCGGAGGCCTGGCATACAGCATGTTTTGGGGGAAGAATACGAGAGGCTGCTGAAACGCAGTGTTTGTTACCAGTCACAGGCTCTGATAACCTTTAGGGTAAACCCAGCTCACAGGATGCTTTCAGCTGGCCTCTGGAAATGCCTAGGAAAACAGATGACTCCAGATTATCCAGGAGCGATTTAGGCCACAAAAAGAAAGACACCTGAATTGTCTCTGTGTAAGACAGCTGGGGTCCAATTAAACTTAGCAGCAGAGCTATGCATCTTGTGAACAGCATTGCTCCAATTACAGGCAAAGGTCCAAGTGTGGCAAGAGGGACTTGTCTGGTTGTATTTGGATCCCACAAGGAGCACCGCTAAGTCACAGCTAGTAAACCTCGATGGGCTTAAGCTTCATTCCACTAATTCGGGTCTGTCATCCGGGTACTTTCAGTCCCGTCACAGTACGCTTATGTTACCAGATGTTTTCTACCATTAGGCTCCATGATTCCCCTGTTACTTTGAAAAGTGGACAGTGCATTGCGTAGTCACCTTGTTAGCCAGGAGTATGCAGTGATCAAGCTTTGAACGCAGAATGGCACCAAATAAAGTATGCATTTGTGGTACTGGAAAAGCACTGTTCACTCTGACATATGTTTCAAGCACACCACCACAATTTATTGTTTATGTTAGAAAAGCAGTAATCTGAAAATGGATCTAGAAACCATTGTTCTAGATACCACGCTTGACACATAATAAAAAGAAAGCTCATGCCCTGCAGAGCTGGTAGCGAGTGTAGATTAGGCGAGTTCTAAAGAGAGAGCTGTGCAGGTTTTTTCAGGTCTTGTAGACTTGTTGCACCAGCACAAACAAACCTGCCAGAGCACTTTCTGAAAGGCAGCATGCAAACAGGCAGGTCCAAACAAAAAGGCTGAAGCTTTAACCTACCTCAAAACCCTTGCGTGCTTCTAACAGGCCCTCCTGATTCTGAACAGCCTCTCAGTTCTCCACAGATGCAAGAACCACAGCTCACAGAAACACAGCATCTCTCCTGACCAAGCCAACAGCAGGAACATTAGCACGCACAAAGGTGATGGGTTTCTTCACAGGCAGACACACGTATGCACAGCGCACCACCTCTCTGTGCTACCTGTCTTGTCTTGTTTTAGCTGTTTCTGGCAAGCAGGCAGGGTACTGGAGCATGCAGAAATCCTGCCTTTTGAAGCACCTTGAAAGCGGGCTTATATTTTTCAGTACACAGGTGACCCTAAGAACTTATCAGGAAGCAAGACTGTATATGTAGTGTAATAGACACAGCTATGCGTGAACCTCAGTTTCATGCTTCTTGGGCTTCTCAGTGTTATACAAGAACCAAGAAACACAAGAAGATGCGGCTGAAACTGCCTCTTTCTTGCTCATTCTTCAGTGCCAGATCACATCAGGATATAACGTACCTGAGGACTACTTGTTTGCAAACTGCTGGAAGACAGAGGCATAATCACGTATTGGTGAGTCATGACCACACAATCGTATATGGGTGATGACACAGACTTACGAGGACAGAGAGAGTGATATAGCTCAAAGATGTCTTCTCCCCATTCTATTTTCAGATTAAAAAAACCAAAATATAGAAGATACTCAGTTGTTGAAAAGCAGCATAGCTCCTTGCTTTTGACAAAGCTGGGCAGATTTGAATTTGCTGAGGTTATGGCCCATTCTATTTGTAAAAACAAAACAAAACTAAACTAAACTAAACAAACAAACAAAACCAACCAAACAAACAAACAAAAACATTCTGCCTGGATAGATTCTTCCTTTCTCTAAACTTGAATTTAATTCTAGGAAAATGTCTAGCCTGTCTAAGGCCTCTGGAAGACGGAACTCTCTCTTTTAAACATGGGACGTGCAGTGTCACAGCAACAGCGGTGCAAATGCCATCAGGAGAAGATGGCTCAATCTACTGACTAACTACTCTTCTATCTCATCCCATGGTGTCTCCAGCTGGACTGCCAACAAACTCCTTCAGCTACCATGAGGCATCAGTGCAGCTCCTATGATCTATGCCAAACCTCAAGGCAGGCAAACAGAAATGCACAGAGCTCTAGAAATTCTGCAGTGCTACTAACTGTTGCAAGCCTTGCTTGACAGGAGAGGAAAGCTAGCCAAATACTGGGCCCACTGGCATGCAGAGCATTACAAAGGACATGGAGAAAATCTCAGAAGATCCTTACTGCCACAGTAATACTGCCAAAATATAATCTGTATCTGGTTTGAAAAGCTGTCGTGTCATTTCCATGCCTTGAGTTTTTCCTGATAGTCTTCTCCAAACTGACCAAACTGTATGTAGCCTGCAGGTGGGAGGCCGTAACTCGTGGACATGCTTTTACCATTGTGATTTTTTGTAACAACACTCTAAATTCACTCTAGGAAGGTACGTCACTGATTTTTGTAGGTGCTGTGACCCAAAAAATAACTCCATGTTGGTGTTCCCACTTTAACCTCTGCAAGAGGGAAGTCATAGACAAAGCATGGGCTTAGCTCTCCAGTGTGTGACATACAAACTTATGCCAAGAGCTTAGTTAGCACCAGAACTTGATAATCGACTACAGATCAAGGCTATCCCTACTGTTTTTGAAGTATTAATCTTTTTTAGTGTTATTTCTAATAGAAACACTCAGGCAATGGCCAAGTTGCACTGTTCTTTCTTCCACCTTAAAAAAAAAAAAAAAAACAAAAACAAACAAACAAACAAAAAAAACCCAAAACAAAACCCAAAACCAAACCAAATTAAAAAAAAAAACAAAAACAAAAAACACAAAAAGAAACAAACAAACCAAAACAAGCACTCAGCCAGTCCATTTTCCTGGATGCATACTTCTTCTGCTTAGCTGAAACTTTCTGGAAGTGTTTGGAAGGAAGGCTGTATCACTGTGTTCTCTTTAACATTGTCTCTGAGAGAGGTCACATGAGTTTTTTTCTCCACAGCACATGTTCTTCATGATTTTTTAATTTATTCCTCCTGCAAATACACCAGACTCAAGAAACCTGCAAGTATTTCTCCCATACTGAGGTGTTTCTCTTGCTCATCCCTCCCTGAGCTTACAGGATGCGTAGTGTCATGGCAGAAAGCGAGCAGACTTCTTAAATGTTGCGTTTTCTAGAGAATGCAAATTGTTTCCTTTTAGTACTTGACAATGTAACACAAGTAACTTGCCATGGCAACCAGCTTATGAAACAGACAAAAAATTATCATCACAAGGTACTTTGTTGCTATAGCAAGCAAAGAAGCTGAGACCTTATCGTTTTTGTTCGCTGGTCGGCCATGCATCATCTAAGTTGCAGAACCTGTCAGCAGAAGTTTATGTTAGATTCAGTACAAGTCAGCTGCCTCGTGGGCCTATCTGATACTTGGATCAAAACTGAAGTATAGTCAGAAGGAAACAAGGAAGTGTTCAGAAGAATTGAAACAAAGCTGGATTCTCAGAAGTACAAGGCCAAATCCATTTCCACACCAAGCTGATGCAACTTCGAAGATGCCAGTAAGGGATGAATGAATTTCTTCAGAAATCAAGTTGGCTTCCATCCTCGGATAGTCTCCGTTCTCCTCCCTTGCTTCTTTTTTTTTTTTTTTTTTTTTTTTAGTGGAATAGCTGCATATATGGGAGTATTCTGAAATTACCTGGAACAGAAGGTTGAATAGGCTTGCAGTCTTCAAATGCATTCTCTTTATTAGGGATGCTTCTGAGAAGGCAGGCTTACTGCTATGCAGGTTACTTCTGTTAGTGAGTGAATTTAAAAATGGCAAAGGGAATTGGCTAAGGGCAGAAAGGGGAAACCCTTATAATTATCACTATGGGAAGAAATAAAAACTGAGGTTTGTTAGCTCAGAAAAGGACAATTTTGAAAACTGTTATATATGCAAGTAGCCGCAGAAGCCAGTGGAAATACCCTGTGCTTAAGACAGTCTTATTTGTAAAGCTGGAGTGGGTCTAGGTTGTACACAAAATGTTTGCTTTACTCCCAAGCTGGAAAGGGTGCCTTATGTGGGACAGTCTTGAAAAACTGGAATTTTCTTAGTCTCTAGACTACTGAGGTGAGCGACAAGAAACACATCTCCAACTGTGTGATGGAATGAAGTGTATGCTCAACCTTTTTATTTTAGAAACACTCTTTCCCAGTTTTCATTGTTGATACAGTAGTGTCAAGTTGAGAAACAGTGGCCAGCTGTCTGGGGGCTTAGCTAAATTTACAGGTAAAATTATTGTCTCATGGACAATCCGCTTTAGCTTCCTGGTGAGGCTGCAGAGGAAATACTGCTGGATCACAAACCCCAACAACAGCATGATTTGGAAAGCAGCCTTTGAGAGAAGCTCTTAATGTATCGGGTAAACCTAGGTGGAGATTCAAGGCTGGAATGTACTCCTGACAATGAAGTGTTATACTGCGAGTGACTGACTATAAAAAGACTATGGGGGAAAACTGAGTCTTCTGCAGCACAAAGAAATTATGAGATAAACTAAAGTAATCTCAAAGAAACTATGATAAAACTATCCAACACTAGAATTTAACACAGTCTCCTAGAGACTGGGAAAAGTCTGTGGGCTAATCCTTACTTCCAGTCGTACCAAGAGGGACATAGCTGCAAGAGACATTGCAGCTGTGAAATTCTGTAGGCATGTACCATCATCCCAAGGGCCTGGAACTCTCAGAGATACTTAAGATTCGGCAGCTGAAGTCCAGCTGAGAGACCACACAAAGGAAAAGAGAAGACCCATCATTCCCAGTTTCAAAAGGCTTTTTAAGATGGACACTAACTGGAGAGATCTCGTGCAGTAATCAGCTAACAAAACAAACCCCTGAATTAATTAATCAACACTCAATCAGTAAGGGGGGGGAAAAAAAATCTTCCTCTGTGTTATCTCTAAAACATCACTTTGTTTCAGATGACCCAACCAGTGAGTGGGACCACTTTGTTTTTAGTCCGCAAAATAACAGCATTAAGATTGGATTAAATTCTACTAAATAGAATGCTCAGGCTTCTTTAAACACATTGCACATTAGACACATTGCAGAAGATTCTGAGTGGGCAGAGCAAACTCATCAGGCTTGGAGGGTTGTCTGATGGAGAACAGAATCTTTCTCATCATGGATTTCTTCCTCAAAATAAGCAGGGAAACGAGGCAGTGCCTTGCCAGGTGCCTGGCCCATGCTCCACCAGAGCTAGAGAAAGCAAAGATTCCTGCTGACTGAAATGAATTCTGCTACCAGTTGGATTTGATCAATTATGCAGTGGAAATAGAAGCTTGTGGAGATGAGATGCTCTGCAATCTAAGAAGGGAAAGACTTTGTAATCAGAGCTTGGAAGTGGAAGGAGGCCTGCGCTCCACAATTTAAAATACAGACAACTGCTGAGTCCTTTTTTCTACTAAAAAAAAAACAACCCAAACACACACACAAAAATGATGTAATTCAAAGACTGGTCATTTCCACTGAGTCATCCTCCTTGTAGAGACACGATAGGAATGAACAACAATCACATCTCTCTATACTAATGATATGCATAGTAAGTAATGTGAAGCCCTCACCTGAGTGGATGGTGGAATGTTTGGACTTCAGATTTTGCTGGGTGGTGGGAGACATAAGAAACAGGTTACAACTCTGAGACAGTATTTATGAGCAGTGTTGCTTTCTACAATTGCCTGCTAGTTTCAGTGTGTGATATGAAGCATACTGCCCTCTACAGAAAGTGTCCCGTTTATTCCTATGGGTGTTTGCTTAAGTCCCCAACAAATGTTCTTTCCTCCTTTTTCCCAGGAGTTATGGCTGATCAGGTGGTGACTCTAGAGCCTGAGTTGCTTAGAAATGACACTGATTCTTTCATTAAATGCCCTCACCTGACCAAGAGTGACTACGGTTGGTAAGGTGCTGTGTCTTCTTCCACTCTCTGCTGAGCATGCCAATGTAGGTCAGCAAGGGTCAGATAGGGTGGGAGGTCTAGCAATGCAGAAATCTGCAAGTTGGGAGCCACATTGATTTTCCTGGGAGAGTTTTGCTGGCATATGTACAGGAGCTTTTGTTACCTGTCAGCTTGAATTGAATGTCAATCATTCCCTTGGAGCCTGATCCTCACATCACTTCACTCTCAGAGGTTTATGCCTTTGTCTTCATACAGCGATAACTCAGGTCTTTAGAAGCTGAAAGCCTTATTCTTTCTTAACAATCCTTTGTGATATTTAGGTCCTGTGTGATTTTCATTTTCAAACTCTACAGAAAAGTTTGAACACTTCAGCTTGTGTGCTACCAGTTTCTTAATGGTACAGTTTGGATCACTTACTGTACTCTGGGTTATCTGTCGCTTTTGCTGACAGGAGCCAGTATTCCAGGAGTGGAAACCAGATGAGTTGCTAAGGGATGTCTTGCACTCTGTGTCATTTTTGCAGTCACTGATGTGTAACAGATTTATCTGTGTAGTTCAAGGCCCTTCTGTACCAGATAAGCTTGTACTGAAATCTCAGACCATCCCGTGTGTTCTCCTGGAGGAGACACTAAGGTTATTGCTATTCTTTTTAAAAGAATCTTCTTACTTCTTCATCAGCTAATGCAGATTTTCTTCTCAACATCAAAGAACAATTGCCAACTACATCTGTTTCTCGCAGAAATTTCAAAGCAGTGTTGCGCAGCATGATTCAGGCATGCACACATGGTAGAACTAGATAGAATTAAAGACATTTGTGTTTATCCAGTTAAAGTACTGGTTTCTTTTCCTTTGATTGCTCTTTAATGTACTGGCTGCACATTGTCTCTATCCCTGCCACGCAGCCCTCCTTCTCATCCTCACACTCAAACTATTGAGCCTTCTCTTCTGTCAAGTTCTTCACTAAATTCCGGTTTTCCTTCTTCTGTAAGGAGCTGCCCTGAACCTCAGTTCCCATCTTTACAAGCAAGTAAAGCTGATGCAAAGCAGTACTCACATAAAATGTAGCTACTCTGTAGACTAAAAGATCTTTAATAAAGAACTTCCCATGCTGAAGCCATAAAGTAGACCCCCAGTGTAATTTTTAGTCTGCAATTTGTCATTCTCTTTCTTCTGCTGCTTCTCTATCAGGGAAGGTGAAAGATGAGGACCTGCAGCTACTTGCATCTTGCAGGACCAGTGTGTGTTTCTAGGTAACTTTTCAGGCATGTGCTCATGAGCTCAACAGTGATATAAGTGTGTGTGGACACACAAATCAGTCAGATACTGTCTGATGGCTTTCAGGGGGCCAACGCTAAATATTTCTGAAGTCAGATTCCTAAAGATTCCTAAACTAAGAAGATTCTTAAACTAGGATGCCCAAATCAGCATGTTGCAAATTTCTTCTCTGGCCTCAGACTTTTGATTTTGTCTTTCTGCTTCCAGTCAGGAAACTTCAGTTAGGGAAATACTGAGACTAACATATCAAAACACTGATCAGAAATGTTACATGAATCCAAATGATTGATGGAATTTCAGCCATTGATTATGAAAACATGAGTAAGCTAATATTAATCTACAGAGGTATTAGCAGTGAATGATTTCCCAGTCCTCATTAGCAATATGCTTTGATGAGGGTAGAAAGTGTTAGCTGTAGTTTCCCTTCAGTAAGCTCTTTAATCATAAGAGCTTACTGGCAGTGGGATTTGGGAGACTTACATGATCACAAAGTGAATTAAAACAATACCTTCTCTCCAGCTTCTCTGGGATAGCACACAGGAGAGAATGGTCTCAGAGCTGCTCAGAGCTGGCACTGGCATTCTCCAGTGAGGACTAGGCAGAAAGCTGCTTCCTCTTTAGTCAAGATCTTCCTCATTTTCAGGAGCACATTTATACCAGCTCTCCTGCAATGATCACCACATGCCAGTGAACTTGTTATAGCATGTTCAGGAGCACGTTCTCGCTGGTTTCCTGAGGTCTCATCCCAACCTTACTGCAGATACAGGGAAGATTCATGGACTTCTTCAGCGGCCTTTGGACTGCTCTGTGGAGGCAAAAATACAACAGCAATAGAGACACGGGTGAGAGGACTTTACATTACCACCATACTTCCCTCTGAAAAGATGGCAAAAGAGATTCTGCAGCCCAACCCTGTGCTTCCCAGAGGAGTAAAATCAACATGAATCCTACTTAGTAAGTAATTCAAAATTACATTCTGGTTTGTGAATCATCTGCATCTCAGCCTTTCTGAAGATCTTAGGTAATGTCTTAGGTAATGAGATGAGAATAGTGCAGCTTCTGAGGTCATCTCTACCTGCTCACAAGGCTGCCAGCCTGCTGTGGCCCAGCTGCTCTTTTAAAATACACTCTGCCACTGAGCAGTTTGCCTCTAGAGATCTCAGACATGAAGTAATCCTCCTAGCTTTTCCAGAAAAAAGCTAACTAACATTAAACCTGTTTTACAGGTAGGTAGGCTGAGCTCTAGTCTGCTTGAGATCACAAAGGGTTATTTAGGGGCTGACACATTCCTGCAGCAGGGATGACCTCCTGGGAGGGATATTAACCTCTTTCATTAAAGGAAAAGAGTGCCCAGGCAGAGGAGAGGGCTGGCCACACAGACTCTGTTTACATGCATGTTTTGCACATGACTACAAAGCAAATAAACTTCACTGGCTATGTGGCTTTGAATCCAGGTGTCCCTCAGACGAAGACAAGTGTAGGGTGAGCCCAAACACGATGCTTGGCCCTTTGGCTGAGCCATCTGGCAGGTAGGAATATAAAACTTGCTGATTGCTTTATGCCTGAGTCACCTCCTTTAGCATTTGTTATTGCCTAGCACGTTAGCATGTTGCCTGCTGGATAATAAATGACTTCATTCGCTGCAGCAGTGAGGACACTATTAAAAATTAACCCTGGCAAATGGTCCTGCATATTTCCTTTTTTTCAGTAAAAGCCAGACAAGGGGGAAGAGAGGAATGCTGTTGAAATCTGATTAGCAGAAAAGGCAAGTGGCAAGTTTAAGTAATGGGGATGGTTCAGGCTTCAGTTTAATCACTGCAGTTGTTGGCAATCAATGATCAAAATTCAGAGGGCTTACGGCACTTGGTAAAGTTAAAAGCAATGCAAGTAAAGAAGATTCAAAAGGCCTATTGCAGGGAAGGTCAAAGAATAGGATATATGGGGATTATTATTCTCACATGTAATGTATGACCAGTTCGCAGAAAAAAATGAATTTATCACATGAATGTTATTACCACATGTAAGGAATTTGGTCCACAGCTGAAAAACTCTTCAGTTTTGGTTCATGTATTGTACTCTTTTCTCACAGTATCACACTTGCAACCATACCATATCTATAGCAGCATGAAGAGTATATTTACAGAAGTGAAGGGTTTGCATTAAATATCTGAAGGAATAAATCAGCTGACAGACAGATCCTTCATTTTCTTGGCTTCTCTTGCCTCCAGCACCCACGCAGTATCCATTAAATTGTCTCAAGTCAAACCTTCACAGGCTGCATTTGAAACTTGGGCAAGGAGCCAGGCAGGCTTAGGCAGCAGAGACTTTTCTGTCCTCACACACTTCCCACCATCTGTATGCTGCAGTCCAGAGCAGGGGAGCTCAGCTTTAGGCTCAACAAAAAATCTCTCTTACTCCCTTTGCATCACTCCAAGAGAGGGATTTGATCTGAAGCCTGCTGACAGCCACATTAATGATCCTGTTGTTGACACAAAAATTTCACCTTGTTCTGAGACATCATTCAGCTGGCTTTGGCACAGCAGTGAGCAGCACGCCCTATCCTGAGCCCACAGTTCCTCAGGTTTGTCCCAGACCCTTGAGTAGCTCCATCCATAGATGTCTGATACCTGTAGATAATCTAGATGGTAACATAAGCTGTGATGCCAGGTGCAGTGACGGTGCAAGCAGATCTATCCTCTGGCTGGCATGCTTTTCTGCAGAAGCATATCATAGCTGATCTGAGGTATGATGGTGTTCGTCAAAGGGCCATGCTGAGGTCTGCACAGTAGTACTGAATCACCTGCACATCTCCATGTGGCAGAGGTATTTTAAAATGTTGGGCTTAAGCAGACATTATGCTGCAGCAGGGAAGATCATATAGAGTTCCTGCATAAACAGTGTACAAATTTGCTGGCTGAAAGGTACTCGGGTGCTGCTGTGTCCAAGTTGGAGATGTTTCTTACTCTAAAGATCTTTCCTTCTCTTTGGCATTTCAGGGACTGTGATTGAAATATTCCTCAGTTTAATTCCTGTGTTTCATTTATTTTCTCTCCTTTATCTCTCTATCCAGACAGAGCTTTGTCATTAACCCTAGTCCCTGGCTATCTTTATCAGATACCCAAGCCCCTAAGCACAAAATCCCTCCTGCTCCCTGGTCCTGCCCATCGCATCAAAGGGAAGTGCACCTCCAGAACAAGCAGCCCTGTTTCCCATGCATGTGGGACTTGGCCATGCACCAGGTCACACACAGGAAGTCTTCCAAACTTATCAGCAGGTTAGGCTGATCCCAGGGAGCTTTGTTTCTCAGCATCTAACATATTTGCCTAATGTCTTGTTAAAAAAAAGGGCATATCAGAAAGCTGTGCTTGCAAATGTTAGGATACTCCCTGAGCATTTCCTAGATAGCTGCTCTATAAATGATGAGGAAGCAATTCAAGCATGTGACCACAAACAAGAAGGCATGTGGTGTGGTACGGGAACTGCCCTTGCTGGGATGTTCACTCTGTGACAAATGGGGCTTCACTCTATGTTTTAAGATCCTGTACTCATTGCATGCAGCAGGCAACAGTTTCACTGAACTCTTGCTGCAGCCAAGCATGCTGCTGGAATAGGGATTCTATTTTAATGATCACTGACTGGGAGTTATCACAACTGTTGTGAGTCAACACAACAACATTTTATAAATATGGTCTTTCTGGAGGTGGTAGTTTTGGAAAGCCCAATATCTTCAAGTTTGTTTGGCACTTCATTGTAGGCTAGATGGTGGATGTGATCTGAAATCACTTCCTTTAACTCTAGTAGGTTTGGGATCACACTCAAACCGTGTGGCTATCTATGTATATATTTATTTCCCCTAAGTCTTTATCTTTCACTTGCCAGGTTGCCAAGGGCTAGGTGTGTTGTGAAGCAAGTATCTTGAAGGAGAAAGAAGTGTCGTATGCAAACATCTGTAGGCATACATCCAGCTGCTCAATTCACTAGAAAAGAAAGTAGTAAACTGCACCTGGAAAATCTGCCTTCCACAAACCAAGAGCTAGATGTTAAATACTGCATACGTAGTTGAATGCTGCACACTTGTGTTTCCACTGGCTTTTAAGGAGAATGAGAAGGAAATGTGTTTTTAACACTAATTTAACTTGTACCCTGATCTACTACTGCAGAGAGTAATAACTGGTAACTTAGAAATTAGCCATCTGCAAGTGTTTGGTCCACAAGATTACTGCCAATGGTCTGTTAATGAATGTCCCTGGGTTAGCACATCTGCAACATGGCAAAGGGAGTAACCAGTGTAGGACAGGACAGAGGATGCTTGTGTGCACTCCAAGGAAGACAGGTTCTGGCAGTGGTAATGTGTTGGAAGTTGTTGCAAGAGAAATAGATTTTACCACACTGCTTGGTAGGATTTTAGACATATCTGTCTACATTGGACTTCACTAAAAAACAGCAAGACCCAAACACTGCACGGAGTTATGCTAGTGTAGTGCTAATGCAATGCATGGACTTCTGCTTGTCTCATTACAGCAATACTTTTGAGTGCATCAAGTGCATCAAGTGTCTGCATCTCATCATACTAGAAAAGGCCAAATCTCGCATTAGCTTTGCCCCTTTATGTTTTCCAAAAATTCAGATCCAGATTGAAACACAGATTGTCAAAGGTCCATCTCCACTGCTAACAGTGGTGGGCAAGTCTGGAACTGCAAGGTCTTTGCTGAGACTACAGGAAGTGAATGGAGAAGAGCCACAGTACTACAGAAGCACCATGACTCCTCCAAGTAACAGTAGTTTGTGGTCATCATTCTGTATTTCTGTCTTCTGCTGAAGGGATTTGCTCAGTCAAATGCAGACCACTCAGCTCAGGCACTGGGAGTTTCTATTAAAACACTATAAATGTTTACCCCAGGGTCTCTTCTAGAGATGTTTCAAGGAAAGAGGATACTTGGATGGAGTGTTTAGCCAGAAGTGCAGGCATGCAGTGATAAAGTGCAGGTTTTCATGGCCAAAGAGCTGTCCTCCTAGCATGGCTGAGTCCCATGTAGTGTCATGGAACTGCTGGAACAAGTCCAGAGAAGGGCCACGAGGATGATCAGGGGACTGGAGCACCTCCCGTACGAAGACAGGCTGAGGAAGTTGGGGCTGTTCAGCCTCAGCTGCATGGAGACCTCATAGCAGCCTTCCAGTACCTGAAGGGGGCCTATAGGGATGCTGGAGAGGGACTCTTCATTAGAGACTGTAGTGATAGGACAAGGGGTAACGGGTTAAAACTTAAACAGGGGAAGTTTAGGTTGGATATAAGGAGGAAATTCTTTACTGTGAGGGTGGTGAGGCACTGAAACAGGTTGCCCAGGGAGGTTGTGAATGCTCCATCCCTGGCAGTGTTCAAGACCAGGTTGGACAAGGCCTTGGGTGATATGATTTAGCGTAAGGTGTCCCTGCCCACAGCAGGGGGGGGTGGAACTAGATGATCTTAAGGTGCTTTCCAACCCTAACTATTCTATGATTCTATGATTCTATGCTGTGTTCACTGCCATGTGCTGTCACCAGCCAGCGGGGCTCCTGACAGATCCAGCCTTGAAAACAAATTGTCAAGCAAGGTGTTTGAGGTAGGTGTAAGATTTGTGTGGACAACCGTGTGTTTTATTGTTTTCAATACTCTGAAACACTTCTCAAGCATCTGCCTTGGTCTCACTCAGCATGCTGAGCTAGGTAAATGAGCTGAATTTTACTGAAAATGCAAGACGGTGTATAAAAAGTACAGAAGCATACCAATAATCCATCTTCTCTCATCACTAATCTAACTTAGCTGCTGAAACAGCAAAGTACATAGTCCTTTTTCTAAGCGCACATTATGCAAAATCAGAGCCAGAGTTGTAACGAGAGTATTTGGAAATCAGGTCTCTCTTGTCATTTTGAGGTCAGGGAAATATCCTTTCCTGTCTATGAGGAGAGGATTCCTTCTAGTAGTCTACAGGAAGTTACACACAACAATGACCCAAATGCAGATGAATTACAAGGCTTTCAAAGAGGCTACCCATGGAAAAGGCAATTTGTGCCTCTTGAATTCTAGGGAAAATCCCAGTACAGGATAGTGGTTTGTTGCATCACTTTTCATTCCTGGGTAATATCTACTGGACTAGAATCCAGGCTACACACAGCAGAAGCAGATGTGTAGGGTCAAGGGTTTCCTTTCACGTAGCAGATATGACCATTTTTGTCTTTGCTCAGTTCATTCACTGATGCTGAGCCAGAAGCAGGTACAAATCACCTAGTAGGCCATGAAGCTGAAACACTACCAGGAGCACTGGGGATGGGCAAGGCACTTTAGGCAAAAGAAGCACTTTGACTCTTACCATGTTAGGACAGAGAGCCATGTCTTATAAGCTATAGATGCTGGCCCTAGGATTACATAGGTGTGTATGGGGGTGCACAGAGTATGCAGTGCTTGTTCCAGTCTGCAGAACTTCCTGACCCCTCATCTACATGCTGATACCCTCCCTTCACTACTGCAGACTGTGCCTCAGACACTTTATTTTCTCCCCTATATGACAGGGATTTATGAAGGACTTTGCCAGAGCTGTTGTCTATAGCATGGCTTGCAGTGGTGCTATTGCTGTGGTGGCTGAAAGCCTTGGTGTACATGAGTTGCATTCAGAGTAAGCTTTGAACTTACATGTGCAAAGTGCAAGCAAAGTATTGTGTAAGGCATGCAAACTAGTGCTTTGTCCTGATTATTTTTTTTTTTAAAGTCCTGATTTCTCCACTGTTTCATACATGGATGGGAAGTGAATGTAAATCGACACCTTTCTGACTTGGCAGCTGTCGTGGTTTAAGCCCAGCCAGTAGCTCAGAACCATGCAGACGCTCGTTAATGCCTCCCTTCTCCTTCCCCCCACTCCCGGAGAGATGGGGAGGAGAATTGAAATTATCCATGGGTTGAGGTAAGAACAGTCTGGTAACTAAGGTATAACACGAAACTATTACTGCTACCACCAATAATAATAATGATAAGGGAAATAACAAGGGAAGAGAATACAACCGCTCACCACCTGCTGACCGATGCCCCGCCCAACCGAGCAGTGATCTAGCCCTTCCAGGTAACTGCCCCAGTTTTACATTCTGGGCATGATGTGCTATGGTATGGAATACCTCTTTGGCTAGTTTGGGTCAGGTGTCCTGTCTTTGCTTCCTCCCAGCTTCCCCTCCTCCCTGGCAGAGCATGAGACTCACAAAGTCCTTGGTCAGAGTAAACATTACGGAGCAACAACTAAAAACATCGGTGTTATCGGCATTGTTCCCAGGCTGAAAGTCAAAAATACGGCACTGCACCAACTACTAACAAGGAGAAAAATGACTGCTACTGCTGAACCCAGGACAGTAGCATTTTGTGATGGCTTTGCTTTGGCATAAAAAGCAAGTGCACATTGTAAGGCTGCTGGTTCCCCTGCCTGAAGACAGCTAGGTGAATTGCACAACTAATGCTTGCTTGGCAAAACAGACCTAAAAGTACAGGGAAGCCACAGGTTTCTTTACACTGCAAAGGACAAGTGATGCTCCTGAAAAAAAGTGGTGAATTGGTCATTGACCTTAACTCCTTTCCAACATCAATTAATTTTTCTCTTAGTTTGATATTGAAAACAAAGTTGTAACTCAATCATTGACTGTGGAATTCAACCCAGAAGAAATACAAGCATCACCAACAATGTGGACCAGGTGTGAATTATAAAGAGCATCAGCAAGAAGCCTTCTGTATCCCAAGGGCATTAATACTGCAGCCAGCGCTATTCCTTTTGTATTTTTCTTTTAAGCCTGCCATTTTTAAACCCTCTCAGCAAGACCATTTCTTGCTGAGGATTTCTACCACAGCAAGCACTAATGCTAAAATGAAGATTGCCCTAAAACTGAGTGAAATGTCTATAGTGGTACTACAGTTGTAACGATGCTGAGTTTTGTGCCTACTAGTTCTTTAATAAAAATGACCATCTGACAGCTGTAGGGCAGCTTTAGACTTGTCCCATACACTGGAACAGGGTGCCGTACCTTGGAAGAGCAGATGCGCACAGTTATCATCCCTTATCTTTCCAAAACCAGGAAGCGGTTTGAAAAGAAACTGAAAAAGGTAGATGGCCTTGAAGAGAGACACAAAACAATCATCTTTATTTATATACACAGACCTTTCAAGTCACAATTGATTCATCTTTGTGTCAGGAATGATACAAACAAGGGACTGCAAGCATGCTTTTCTGGTTCCCAGTATTTATTTTTTTTTCATATAAGAAAGGTTTTGTTTCCATTTTTTCCCTGTAAAAATGGAAAGGGAGAGAAATCCTACATTTTAAAATTAATTTATTTATCTATTTATGTACAACTCTTTATTAAAATTAAAGCAGAATTAGATGATAAACCCCTCTGGAGTTAGGAAATCCTGTCTTGGTGGCTCAGATATTAATACAGTACACTCTCTCATGGTCATATCTTTCATCCTGATCAGTTATCTGTACTGCACTGTTATGGAGCCACTTCTGGGTAGAATCCCTTTGTTGTGAACCTACCTTTTTAAAGCAATAGTACGAAGGAAAGAAAGAACCCTCTGGTGTGGCATCTACACTGGGTATTTCTTGAAAGTAAGTGGGATTCCACCAGAGTTCTTTCCTCCCAGTAGAGCTGAATCACGGCTTAAGCTAATGAGATATCCCAACACAACTGAAGCCTGCCTTAAGCTTACCTTTCTTTAAAAGACCCTTTACCATGGGAAGGTGCCATTTGCTGTTTTTATTGCCTTCTAGTACCTCCACAATGTACCCCAAAACTCCACCAAGACAAGGAGGGGGTTTGTTTAATTTTAAGTGAGCATACAGCAGTGAGAGAAGACAGGCTCTGTCACTCAGAAACTAGCTCAGGACTGCCGTCAGACACCACACATAATTTCTGTATGACTTTGGTGACTTCAGGAGTTTGGTTTACTTGTTCACAGAAGTAAGGACAAAGAAAAATGATGGCCCTTATTTCAGTGTGGGTTAAACTGCTCTATAAAAACTGTTAGCAGAAGCTTTTCTAGGTCTAGTTCAGCTTGAAAAGATACAGTTTTGTACAAAATGCCGTATGTTACCTGATAAAGATGTCCTTTTAGATTGCAGCTTATGAATTCACATAAGCCAGTGAAAACCAAATGCTTGGATTCAGTGACTCAGAAAAGACACTTCTTGTTAATTGGATCTTCTCATTGCCCTTTCTTCTCATGCCAAGTGCAGTGACAGCAAAATAAATTTAATTCACAGACTCCTGTCAACCACTGGATCTTTGGATCAGTTCTTACTCCCTCCTGGCCTCATTCATTGCTTCTGAGGATGAAGCCCTACACACCTGCCGTGGTTGAAACTGTTCTTATCTTCCCAATGCAGGGACTTCAAGCATATGAAATCTTGAGGTTAATGCCGTAGTCAAAGCTTCAACCAAAGCTGTTGCTGCAGACCTGAGCTGATTTTTTTGAGAATGCCATGGTAGTTGCTAGTACTTAACAGATAGAGGAATTGTCAAAGGTAGTGTTCTGCTTATCAAGCAATACAAGAAGATGTGAGTTTTCCAGCAGAGCAGCAGTCTGGATGGGGGTGGCAGTACCATAGGATGAATTCCTCACTTAATCTCAGATTAGTTTTGATTTTTCTCTATTTGTAGACAATGGAGATAAATATCCTTGCTTTGTATTTTCTACTTTGAATTATAAGTTTCTGGAGGCATGTCTGTCCTGGGTTCAGCAGTAGCAGTCATTTTTTCTCCTTCTTAGGATTTACGGCCTGGGCTTAAACCATGACAACGTCTTTTACCATGCATTCATGTATTCATCTAGTAAGGTTAGCTGTATTGAAACCTTTTTGTGTAAAGATTAAGAACCACTGAAAATCAAAACCAAGTGAGGCAAGCATGAAAATCATCTAGATCATCATCTGGATGTACAACTAAAATAATTTCTGTTCCTCTGCTTTCAATAGAGAACAACACTGTGGCAGTGTTATTGTGTTGGATGTGTTAGATGGCTAATGAAAACTGCACAGAAATGAAAGTTATCCAAGGGAAAGCAAAATTTCAGGAGTTTAATACACTTCACTTGGCAAATGAGTAATTTCAGCCTTGCTGTGCTGAAAGAACAAAATTGTCATATTTGTGATGACACTACAGGAATAAAGGACTAAAAGTGCATGCCAGTTCTGAAGAAATTGAGAGGTAAGAGAGAGGAGATGTAGACTAACACACATCCATGAGTCTAACCCCTAACTGCACGCAACATTTAGAACAAATTTTGACTGCGAGCAGAATTAAAGACATGGGAAAATGTGTCAAGAGTTTACCAAAAGGGTATTATAGCTACCTCTGGTAAGAGGGCAGATCTTACCAGATAATGAAAAAAATACAACTAGTTTATGACTTTAGGACAGCCTTCAGTACTGTGTCCCAAAGGAAATTGATAGTTCTGCTGGAAAATGGATTCTGACTAGACAAAAATGCGATTACAGGGCTGGCTAATGGGCACTGTCAGGCTGCATGCTGCAAAGGGAACTGTCAGGCTGAAAGATAGTTTGTAGTCAGGGTTCTTTTGGACAATACTCATCTTAGTTCCAGTTAGTGCCATTTGGAAAAGACAGAAGCATGCTAGTGACATTTGCTAATGATTAAGGGGAATTATCAGAGGAAGACGGGAAGAAGGGGTTGGTGTAATAGGAATTGAACAGAATGTAGTGGTACACAATGCAGGGTCATGTGCTTACAAAACCTTTTTAGTACAGTGGGGACTTCCATTCCACTTGCATTTGCACCTGGGGAGGACAAAGAAAAAGAGGAACCCTATCTTAATAGTCAAAGATTATGAGCCACCAATTTGATATGACCTTGATAATGTGAGCCAGGATATACCAGACATTTACGGTACAGAAAGGAGAGTGTTTATTCCACTGCACAAGACATCTGGAGCAGATTATATACAGAAAAAATGGGATGATAAAAAGAATTGCGAGCCTGTCCTTAATGACAGGAGATTTTGAGCTTGGCTTGTATTACTTAGCAAAATAAATGTCAAGGGGAGATGACAGTGGGCCCTATAAATACATCAGGAGTGCAAACATCAGAGGGTAAGAGTTACTTTAAGGTGAAAAATAATTTGGCAAAAGAGCAAGTAGGTATAACGTGTCAATAAATAATTTTGGCCTATAAATTAGGCAGTCTGTAATCTTCAGAGAGAGGCTTTCAGAACAAAGAGGAAGAGACTGACAGGTATCTAAATGCGTCTGATGTGATTACCTGCAATAGCAGAAAACTGGTTCCTCTGATCAGAAAACCCCTTCTGGTCCTGCATTTCTAGGCTGTAGCACAATGGAGTACCTATATGTTAATAATGCAAGTGGCAACAGCAATGAGTTATTAATCAATAGTATTAATCAGGATAACTGGATGTTGCTTGTGACAGGATCAAACCAGGAGGACAGACAAATCACTTCTTTGTAAGATAAAAACCCAAAGGAAAACATCTCCATCCAGGCTTGGTTTTCAGGGAAATTTACCCCTGGTTCCTATTCATTTTGGTAGTAGCAATGTAATTAACCAAGACTAACCTGTTTTGTGGAGTTTCTGTGATGGTGAGATCAGAATCAGGTCCAACATCTGTGAATAGGTCCAGGGACTGAGTTGTCAATATTAAGATTTAAAATTTTTAAACATTTCTTATAAAAACTGAAACATGAATTTTGTCTCCTATAAAGCTTCATGAATGTACAATGTGATTCCTGGATAGCGATCACATCAGCTCCACAGTTATTAGTTTACAGGTTTCTCACTGACCTTAGCTCAGCTCTGGGAATGGTGCCAGCACAATTACAGTAACTCTGAGCAGGGCAAACATAAAGCTCCTCTATCTACCCTGAAGCTGTGCCAGATCTTTCTCTTGCTCAATAATGGGAAGATGCATTTCTTCTTTGTTTGGTTTCAGACAGTTTAGGATAGGTTGGCCATAACAAGATTATTTCCAGCAAAAGAAGGGAAAGAAGTAGACTACCGTGGAGACGGGTACACACATGATACACTTACTCCATGGATAGCCTTTGGGAAGTGTATCCCAGGAAGAGGTGTGGAGGAAAACTGAGTCAAGGTGACTTGAGCTAGTTGCCTGGAAGATAAATGGCAGAGTCTGGAATAAAATTCAAGGGGCAGAATCTTGATTCAGTGTTGTTTTCACTGAATCGCATTACCTTCCTGGAGCCCATCAAGGCCCATTGCCTTCCTTCCTGTGAAGATGGGCAGCTGGACTGCAGTGACACCAGGTGGAGCTGAGTGAGCTCATCACCTTGGAAAATGAGGCCCCTGGTGATTATCTCTGATGTTAATTGAGTGTCAAACCCTGCAAGAGGGGAGTCAACACATTTCCTGATCTATGGTCTAAGATAGCGTTTTCCAAACCGCAGGGTAAATTTAATGTTGCTGCAGAGGAAATGCTGATGCAATCCACCAGCAGCTGCTGCTCTCCAAAGTCCTCGCAAAGGTACAGTATATATGGGAGGTGTGAGAGGGTAAGTGCATGCAAATAGGGCATTTAAAACCCCAGCCTCTTCTACATGGCAGGCAGGACTCCATGTCTTCCCTCCACGCCTCCAGTCTTCCTGCCCCCAAGAGAAGCACTGCTAAGGACTGCTCCCAAGAAAACACTGGGTACCATCCTGACAGTAAACCCATGAAAAAGCAGTCTTTTCATGTGGGAAAACCAAGGATGTGATCACATTTCCTATGTGCTCAATTTATGAATCATACATCTAAAGTGTGGATTCCTCCTAAGTGTGAGTGAGAATGGCAAGAACAATGTTCAAATACATTGTGGTAAGTCTAAAAGATTGGGTAATGCGTGTGTTCAAATAGGCAAATCTAATTTATGAACAGATGAGTCTGGATGATTGAATTAACCTCGTTTAATGGATTACTGCCTCTCAGTGGAGCTGTGAAAACTAACTGCATTGTGCTTTAGTCCCTTGCTTTTTAAAACAGATCGTCTTAAGGGAAAGCAAACATGTTTGGTTTAGACAGTGGAAAGTCTATTGATGTGGTCAGTTAAGATGGCTATGCATGGTAACTCATTAAATGGGAGAAGGTTAATCCTGTGCACTAGCCTGTCTATGCCCTGGGTATGCATTTGGCACTGGTGGCTCTATGTGATTTTCTGCTGCCCAAGAAAATTCCCCCCATGAATCAGTGAGTATCCTTTATTAGTATCGAGATTGAATATTGAAAAAGGAATATGATGATGCCATGGCAATCTCCAGACAGGAAATGGTGAACGGGGAAAGAACAGTGAATTGCCATTCACGGAGCTGGACTAGAGTTGTATTCTTGCACCAAAAGAGCTGCCTGATTGTGACACCAACAGAAGTTGAACCATATCCTAGTCTTTCGACCACTCTAGTCTGCAACTTTAGTCTTTTAAACTGTTTCTCATTTTTAAAAAATGCAAAACCATTTGATGAAACCAGCCTTGTTATACACCACAAGTTGTATTTTCCAGTCCTCAACACACCACAGGAGTGTGGAGTCACCTTTCTGCACAATGGTTAATTATCCGTCAGCGCACAAAGAACGTTTCAGATGCCCGCAACTCCCCTCCTACTGCCACCCCAACACCTTCAGCTGTATGGTCACTTGCCACCCAGATCCTGCTGCCTTTCCCGTCCCGTTCCTGTCCTCACTGCTCTCCCCCCCTGCTCTCCCCACTTGGATGATGACATTCCAACTCTTCCCCCTGCAGCTATCGCCCGGCGCGCCTTCCAGACAGGGTGGGCGGAGCATCGGAGTGGTAGGCAGGGCCTCGGGGACTGTAGGCGGGGCCCCATGGCGATGGGCGGGGCTTGTTTCGGTGGGCGGGGCGGAGTGAGACCACTTGGTAGAGCGCCGCCGCGGCAGTGGTTGCCGGGTGACGGCTGGTCTCGGTGTGCCCCGGCCGCCCTGGCCCGGCTGGCCGGCAGGTAAGTGCCGGCCTCCCCCTGCCACGAGAAGTCAGCCCCGTGCAGAGGGGTCGTGCTTCTCGGGGCTGGGGTGGAGGGACAACCTGGAGGTGGCTTTGTGAGTGTGGTAGGGACTGGCTGAGGGGTGGTTTCCCCTTTGTTACCCAGTGCTTGCACACGTAGGTTTAAGGGTCTTTAAGAAAGGCTTTTGTGGTGAGTGACCATGCTGAGTGATGTGTCCCAGGGCTTGAAGGCCCCCAGAGTGTGAGCAGATAGAAAGCACCTGAGGGTCTCTGTTTATGTTGTCACTGATAGTGGCAATGAATCTGATAGGTTTAACAGTGTATTTAGATTTTGTGCTTTGGTATAGCTCTGAGGAGGAAAATGCTGATGAATAAATAGTCCCGGGCCATTGCAAGCTGTAGCAGCATCCCTGGGTATTTCACGTTGAGAGAATGTGGCCTTTGCATTCTCTGTCTCGGTGTTAACATTGAGAAGTGCTGTGCTCCTGTAGGTCTGACTTCCCAAGGGATTGATACGTGGATGTGTCTGCCTACAGGCAATTAAATATGTTCGTTTAGTTGTACTCTCCAGCCAACAGAAGAGAGAACAGGCTCATGGCCTGGGATGTTATCACACCTGTTCTTACACAGCTCAAGGGACCTGGTCCTATATAAAAGCAGAATTTGGTTCAATGTGAGACCAGATGAGCGTTTAGCCCTGAACTGGAGTGATATTATTATTTTGATGATGAAGCATGTGCTTATCTAACTGAAGCTCCTCGGAGAGCTTAAAGAAACAACATTTATTGTCTGAGTTTGAAGTCATGTATAATTTAGCACTGCAAAATAGTAACATTATGTAGTATACTATAAATTTGGGATTGCTACATTTCTCACTGGTTTAAATGGTTTAATATCTATTCAGGAGGAATTTTGAAGAGATTATTTTTATTTTTTTTTAAATCAGAAAATTCATGAACTCTTAACAGAAATAAATTTAGTTACATCTGCATAATTTTTATTTGCTAGATTCATATGTTGGCTTGAAAAACAATTGAGAGCAAAACCTAGGGCTACAAGTACTTGCTATAATAAGTAGTATAGTACTTGCTGTAATAAGTACTTGCTATTATACAAATCAGAAGACCAGATTTGCCATGCCATCTATAATAAAGGCCAATATAGCTGTATTTAAAAGAAAAGACTGTGGACCCTGGCCAGT